GCCCTCCAGCGCCTCACGCCACAGGCGGCACACTTCAAAGGGGGNTTAAAAAAAAGAGAGGGGGCAACAAGCTAGGGAGGCGGGAGAGTACCTTGCGCTGCGGCAGCGAGGTCGGGCAGGCCAAGGAAAGGAAACACTGCCTGCAGCACCCACAGCTCCATAGGAAGTAGAGTAAAATTGTCACTTTTTTCTTCTTTTTCTTTGTTGGTTGGGCTCTTTTTTTTTCTCTCCTCGCCACCAAATGGTATGGGACCCTTTGTTGAGAACGTGTTCAGCGAGAAAGCAGGCGAAAGAATAAGAACCACAAGGACTGCCCAAAAAGAACATTGAGGAGCATGGAGCAGCCACAGCAGAGGGTGGCAAGTGCCGAGGAGGACGACCGACAACTGGCCGCCGACGTTTTGGAGCACGCGGCGCAGGTGCCAGAGGAGAGCCGCATCCAGAGGACGCCCAAGAGGCCGACTGGCGTCTTGAGTGCAGTGGTCGTGACGCCCCCCACAGAGTTGTGGCCGCCCATTCAGGCCCTACGCAGCCAGGTACCCCTTGCATAAACAACATTTATTGATATATTTATGAAATTTTATTTTTTCATAGTATGACCCGGCTTGCGAGCGCTGGATGCCACACATCAACCTGCTCTACCCGTTTGTGCTGGACGAGTTCTTCACCGAAGCCGCGGACGAGCTCACCCGCGCCTTGGCCAGCTTCCAGGTGGCGGTTTACCTCCCCTCCCCTCATTTTCTACGCCCTTCATTCTCTCATCAGTCGATCGTTGTTGTTTCGCTGCAGCCGTTCAAGCTGCGCTTCGAGGGCTTCCGCGAGTTCCACCACACCAAGTCCAACACGCTGTGGCTCGAGCCACAGACCGAGGTAAGAAAGAAGCTCATCATCATCATATGCGCTTGCGCCAAGGTTGACACACTTGCGGCCTCGTGGTGGGTGGTGGGTGGTGGGTGGGTGGGTGGTGGATGGCCCAGCCCCCGAGGGCGCTGCTTGATCTGCAGGACCGGCTGCTGGGGGTCTATCGCTACTGCAGCAACCAAGCGCGCAAGACGCCGGCTGGCTTCGTGCCACATCTCACCATCGGCCAGTTCAAAAGTCTCGTACGCGTCTCCAAGCTTTTCAGTTTCGGCTCCACTCCTAACCATAATCAGGAAAGAAAGAAACGTTGGCGATGAAGGAGAAGCTTCAGACAAGCTGGGAGCCCATCGAATTCGTGGTGAAGGAGATCTATCTCATTAGCAGGTACAAGCAAGACCAATCAAGTGATGCCCTGATAACATTTTATTGTTTGGTCATGATGACAGAACTAAGGACGATCCGTTTGAGATTCGGCACGTGGTCCCCTTCGCGTGGGACGAGAGCCGCGGCAGCTACGCACCACACTTCGTGGCCCACCCCATTCCTGAGAAGAGGTGCGTCATCACCATCACCATCACCATCATCATCACATCTGAAGCTTCAGCCTGAAACCCATCACCCATGACTTACCGTTTACATGTAAAATTGATGGCAGCGTCGCAGCGCTGCCAACGGCCCACGTGAACGACATTCCGAGCCACTTCACGGGCGAGGACCTCGGCGCTGTGTTCCGGGAGAAAGGCTTTCTGGTGGTGAGCGCGACCGTGGTGGTGGACAAGCAGGGCCAGAAGGCAAAAACGAAAACGAAAACGAAGGCAAAGAACCGCGTGTACGGGGTGGTCGAATTCCCGACTGTGGAAGAGAGGCAGCGCGCCAAGGTTGCCCTCAACAAGACCATCGTCGGCGATCGCCGGATCACCATCGCCATCCGCGACAACAAAGCGACGACGTAACAACAACATTCGAAACTGAAAGATGTAGCGTGTAGTCGACTTGGTGAAAAAGTGATGTGTTTGTTTTCAAGCAAACAGACCTCTCCCGCGTTGATCAAGGCCTTGTCAAGCCCACGCACCCTCGACGACGGGCTCGGCGTGGTACTTGGCCTTGTCCAGGTGGAGCTCTTCGAACACGGTCTTGTCGGTCAGCCCGAGCGCCACGTCGGCCTCCTCCAGCTTCTCCAGCTGCTCGCCCGTCTTGCCCAGCTCTGTGCACATTACAAAAAAAATGAGTACTCGTTGCTGGTGCGCGTGTGCGTGTGCGGTGGTGCGTGTGCGTACCGGCTCTGAGGTCGTCGGAGGCGCCGATGATGATGATCTCGGTTCCCTTATAGTCGAGGAAGGAGGGCGGATCGAGAGGCGCAAACCGCTTGTCCTCGAACAGGGCCAGGAGGTCCTCCGGCAGCTCCTCCTTCTCCTTCGGCCTGCCATCCGCGTTGCGTTTGAGAAATAACGAATACGAAATCGAAAACATGTTGTT